GAGCACACGTCTACTGGCAAATCCTAATAAGGGTCTACCTAAATTTGTTGGTGGTGCTGGTGTTGGTGTTGTTTTGGTTTTTCAAGATAGGGTTTTTTTCTGTGTATCCCTCCCTGCGTGTCCTGAAATTTGCTTTGTAGACCAGGCTGGCCTTGAACTTAAAGAAATCTGCCTGCCTCTGCTTCCTAAGTGCTGGGATTAAAGCCATGAGCCCCCACTGCCCAGCTACCTAAGTATTTTTTCAGTCTAACTTTTTCTTCATATCTATGTCATAGCTCTGTTAGTTCAACTCCTTGTAACCCCTTCAGAAAAACAGACTCATACCACCTCTTCCTACTTTCAGTGGGCTTCTACTTGAACACTGCTTCAAAATAGCCTAAAAAGCAAGTCTTAAGACCTCATATCTATGTGATTTATAGAATGTCTCTTCATGTATATATTGTATATGTAGATAAAATATACACATTTATATTCACATTTATAAAATATACGTGTGTAATATATACTTATTTATATTCTATATATAATTCAAATTATAGTCTTGCTTGTTTCTGCCACTCATTTCTTTCTCACATTCCTTATCCTAGAAACACTGAACTGCTTGTAATTCTCACCATGTGCCCATGCTTTTGCTGATGTCATTGGCTTTCTATGAACTGCCTTCCTCGGCAAAATGCTAGCCTTTTCTTAGCTAAGCTCTGCTTGACTCAGTCCAGGTGTGAGCCTTTGATGACATGTTTCTTCCCTTGAAATCCAAGATGCAGTTGGCATTAGGGATAGTTGACTACTATTCTAGTTTGCTTACTGTTACTGTGATAAACAAAAACAAGTTCAAGAGGAAAGGACTTATTTCAACTTACAGTTTACTGTCCATCATTGAAGAAAGCCAAGAGAGTAAGCCAAGGCAGGTGCTGGAAATAGAAGACAGAAGAAGGCTACTTACTGGGTTTTCTCCCTGGCTTGCTCAGCAACCTTTCATATACAGCTCAGGCCCACCTGCTCAGGAACTGCCCTGCTCACAGTGGACTTGGCCTTCCACATTAATTAGCAATTAAGGTAATGCCCTGCAGACGTACATACCCTGAGATCAGTCTAATGGTGGTAATTGTTGAAGTTCCCTCTTCTGTATGTGTTAATTTCAAAACCAAGATTATCCATTATAACTGCCATTCTCACATTTCACTGATAACTTGTTTACTGATAACTTGTCTAATTTTGGAGTTCATCATTTCCTCATCACATGACCTTAATCCTTTTCTTATAGCATCAATCATAATAGATAAATACTGTAGTCCTTTGGCTATGGATGTCAAAATTGAAATTCATGTCATCAAAACCTTCAAACCTAAAATGAATACTATGTTTTTTCTATTTTAGGACTCTATACTTTAAATATCACTTGTATGCACATGCATACACAAACGTATATCTATACATACACATTTATAATGCTTATTAAGCCCATTTAGATATGTATTCTTGAGCCTTGAGTTTGATATGCCAAGTCAATAATTTAAAAAATTGACAAAACAACAGTATGAACAATATTGCCTCAATCTGAATATTTATGCTATTATTAATGGAGAACCTCAGAATGTATTTCTCTTTATATTTAGATCCTCATGACTCTTCTTCCCTTTTTTCTAGTGTCTTAGGAAATGGGGTCTCATGGTTAGACTACTGGACCTCTGTTCTATCTGCAGTAACTGTTATTTAGGACACTTTCTGGGGACAGAATGCAGTCCTATCCATTTCAGTGGCTAAGTTGTAACCAAGCCTTTCAAGGGTTATGATGACTTCCACTTGGTCAGACACTATCAGTATGAACTACATCACCTGTGCTTGTAATACTTTTTGACTAGGATTGCAGCCTGAAGTTTGTTTCCAGTCTGTTTAAAATTACTACCAGCCCATTCGCCATACATGATAAAATTTCTCTATGAAAATTACTTGCATTGCAGAATATGACTATAAAATCTAAAGACTTGACAAACTTTTAAATTCTTTAAGTAGTTTATGAAAAATTAAATCATTTTCTTTAAAAATTAAAAGAAATTGTAATTGAAATAAAGGTGGACTAAGGTATACATTAGCAAGTTTATATCTAACTCTTATTTGTAGCTTTCATACTAAGGATTATATTTAAATACAAGTACATACTAAAACCAACAGCACCATCCAACCACTGAAACAATTAATGAGGAAGATAATATTTTGTGTTTTTTTTTCTTTCTGTGAGTTTTCTTGGATCTGAAAAAAATGTTGAAGGTCTACATAGTTTCCAGAAATGAACAGCAGAGGGCAGGAAATAGCAACTGGTCCTTGTAGCCTACTGTTCTATTCAACTGCTTGTAATATTCAAGACTGATTTTATTATTGATAAGTTTAAGATAAATATTCAAGAAACATTAAGCTTTGTGGCTTTAAAGGAGGATCTTTGGGCATATGAAAACCAAACACCAGTCTTTTCCCACTTATTTGTATAACCATTTACTCCATTCAGTCTAACTTCATTATACTTAATCAGACAGCATTCTGTGGTGAAAAGAAATATTGACTACCTAATGTGCTGTACTGAAAAGCTTTATGGAAGTTAATATTAATGTAATTATGCTGCATTTTAGTAGGAAATGTTTCTAGGTGTGTGAAGGTCAGATGTTCACCTAAACTATAAACACAGATTACTAGAGTAGCAATTGAATTACAGATAATGCCTGATAATATTTTATAGATCTTATATACCAATTATAATTTATTAACAGAAAGTAATATTTGCTAAGGTTGTGCATGTTCCCTGGGGAAAATGCACTATGATTTGGCAAATTTGTGTTCTGTCACGATATAATTCAGTCAATTTTGAGTTCATATCTGCCCTTGAACATTAAATAGGTCAAGATGGAAGCAGCTTTTGAAAACCCTTTTCTTTTACATTTTAATTTTCTTTAGAGACATGTTAGGTATCACAATTTCTTTCCACAATTAAGCTACTTTCTCTTTATTTCCAACTCCCATCCCAAAGCACTTTGGATGAGGCTCAAGATGCTTTGTGGAAAACCCTGAATGGCAAGACAAAGAAGAAGGGTAGAAGAGATAGTTTACGTGTTGTATCTGCTGATCTGTTTCTTTTGGTTCATAAACTTCAAACTACCCTTGTGTTTGGCATCAGAAACAGAAATGAAACTGTGTGTGAATGTTTGATTATTCTTTCTAAAAAGTTGGGGTACTTACAATCCTTGTTTTCCCTACAGTTTTATCCTCATTGACTTTCTATCATGCTTCATGTCTTTTTATTCAGAGGACCCGACTTAATATTTATTATAGAGTTTTTTATTCACAGGTGAAATAGATTATTATCTACACAAACAATGGTATTTTCACCTATAATATGTAAGCTCAGTAAGTTATACATACATTCTGTATTCTTGGCTTAGGAACATACACACACACACAGGGAGAGAGACAGACAGAGAGAGACAAAGTGACAGAGATAGAGATAGAGACAGAGGTACACAGAGAGAGAAATCATAACTTGAAATCACAAGCTCACAGAGTTTAAAAGCCACAAGGACTGCTCTGCTTTTTGCTTTCATTCATCCCTTCTCATTTTAATGCTGAAGATGTATCTTAAGAAAAATATTTTAATAATTGGAGAATTTGAGAGCCAGTGTGACTGAGGGAGAAGTAGGAGTTAAGATGGCTAAAAAAAAAAGGGATGCTACAATGTGTGATACTAAAATCACCTTCTCTCTACAAGATATAACCATGAAGTGCTCTGGTGCACTTTGGACCATCAGCAGATTCTTCCGTTGATGTCAACTGCAGTCTCCTGGCTCCTCGCAACGATTTTTCTGAACTGAGTCTTTATTTCTCTATTTAAATAAAAAACATACAATTTGTTGAATTTCTGAGGCAGCAGAGAGAATTGACACAGCAGGTATACAGAGATGGCTTGGTATGCCATAAAATGTTGAACATGAGTTTCACAGGCATATACAATCTCCAGTACTCTCTACCGACCTCCTCATAAACTTTAATTTCTAACTTATTCTTTATTTCCCAGAGGCTCAAGCAGGCTTGCTGTAGTGAGGTAACTTTTTTCCATGATGTAGTGGTTATTTTTTTTAAGTTAAGCCCAAATGTGATGGGGTATCCAGTTTGTAACAAAGTGTCTGGAAAGGTTCTGCATCCTTGCAGCCCTTCTAGACTGGCTTGGTCTATTTTTCCCCCTCCCAGGACACTACGATTCCTTTCAATCCATATAAAGATAGGACATCTAAGAGCCCAGTCTACATGACCCTACAGTAGGAGGGAGTCTTCACTAAAGTACAAGAGCAATCCACAGGCAGTGTGGCTTGAACAAATCATACCATAACCCAAAGGGACATACTCCAAAGATGTATTTCCACATAAAGCCCTTCAAAGTTTCATGCCAGGTACGCTTTTTTGGTCATCTTTTGTAGTTAAGGATAGAATTTTGGGTTTCCCCGAGATTACGCCTACATCATATAAAGCCAAAGTTCATAAATTTGGAAATCTTCTCTTCGGGAAATATTTTGTTTGCTTCTTAGCTGGGTCAGGTAACAAAAAAGTCAGTGTGTCGGTATTGCTAAGCGGATTTTCAGATGATCAAATCATAGTCGTTTTGTTTAATGAAAAACAACAGGGCCCGGCAGAAGAAAGCTCCACCGCCAACAGCAATTAGCAGCAGTTCAGCTTCCTAGGCATAGCAACCGGAAATCAGTTTTGCAGCATTTGGATCTGCCTAGAGCATCTCTGCAGCTAGAGAGAGCCCTGCAATCTCAGCCCTGGGCGCAGACCGAAGCGCTGTCCTCGGTGCTAAAATTCAGATGCACAAGACTGGAGGTCTCTAAGAGGCACTAGGCTGCCCGGTTTTGAGCTGAGCTTTCTCAGCACCGCGCAGGAGCTACCAGGGCTGTGCGGGGTGCGGGGCGTTGTGCGGGGGAGGGGTGGCTGCGCGATCCCGCCGCCTGCCACGAGTCGCGCACGCGCGCCCGAGACTGCCTGCCCCTCTCTGTGACTTTCCTGTGTGTGTGTGTGTGTGTGTGTGTATGTGTGTGTGTGTATATGTGTGTGCGCGCGCGCGTGTGAGAGAGGAGAGAGGGAGAGGAGAGCTCGAGAGAGGGTGATTGTGTGAGTGCATGGGAGGGTGTTGAATATTCCCAGACACCGGGACCACAGAGGCAGCTCAGCTGAAAACTGCATTCAGCCAGTTCTCGGGACTTCAGGAGAGGGGACAGGACGCAAGGCATCAACAGCCACCAGCAAGACCTGGGAAATAAGGATTCTTCTGTCTCCACTCAGTGTTTTTAGCAGCTCCTTGCTAAAATTTCGATCTCAAAATGCAGAGGATCTAATTTGTTGAGGATAACGGCCAAAGAAGGAAGAGAAGGAAAAGGGAAAAGGGGTTATTTTGTGGATGCTCTACTTTTCTTGGAAATGCAAAAGATTATGCATATTTCTGTCCTCCTTTCTCCTGTTTTATGGGGACTGATTTTTGGTGTCTCTTCTAACAGCATACAGATAGGTAGGTACCTTTTGTGTTATGCCTTTGGATTGTGCATAATTTGTTGGTAATCTTTGTTCACAGTGGGCAAATTAATTCATGTCATGTAGACTTATGTCATACCTTGACTGCATTCCAGATTTAAACTACCTAGATTATACATGATTTTCTTAGGCTGAAGCAAAAAGAAATGACTATGCCTTTTGACACAATAGAGAGAAAGATTTGCTCATTTCTGACCCCCCGGACTGCGTTACTTCTGCCTTGAAGGCATCTTCTAGTGTGCTCAGATTTTCTGGGGGTATGAACGCAAAGCTTGCGATTAAGGAGAACATTCCTCGTCCTCAGACTCTCCTCCGTGCCTAGACCCATTGACCATCTTTTGGGTGTCCAACCCTTTCTGCCCAACTCAGTGATTATGTTTATCCCGGCGGTTAGTGTGAATGAGAGACTCCGGGGTTGCTGGGAGCTAGCAGCTCCGCTCTTATCTTCCCAGGGCTCTGACATGGTTCTCTTGCTTGCTGTTTCTTCTCTGCAGGGGGGCTATTTCCAAGGGGCGCTGATCAAGAATACAGTGCATTTCGGGTAGGGATGGTTCAGTTTTCCACTTCGGAGTTCAGACTGACACCCCATATCGACAATTTGGAGGTAGCCAACAGTTTCGCAGTCACCAATGCTTGTAAGTAATGAATATGCATGTCTTTCCAGTGCTGCACAGGGAAAGAAAGCTAGTGAATGCGAGTGTGGGATGGTGTGTGTGTGTGTGTGTGTGTGTGTGTGTGTGTGTGTTGTTGGCCTGTCATGTGTGGGTGGGAGTGACTGCACACGCGCGTGCGTGTGAGGGTGCAGAGAGAGAAGGTGGCTGTAATCTTGGGGACCCCCACTGGCCGGCAGGCAGTGAAGAGGGGCAAAAGGCAATGAACAGTGTGCCTGTGTGCACACTGAGAAACCGGGTAGGGGTTGGACTCGGACAGGTCTTTATCGGGTTAAAGGGGTTCTTGCTTGATTCTGGCGCCTCTAAAGAGACTTTCCCAACCCCCTCCCTCTTGCGCGCTTATTGGCACCCTACCAACAGAGAACACGTTGTTCCCCAGGGCGCGCTGTGGGACTGTTGGACAGATCCCATGGGGGAACTGCCTTAGTCCTGTAGCCTGGCAGGGTAACTCCGACCTGCAGTCTCCGTGAGCCCCACATCCTTCCATTGTACCGGACAAGTTGTTAAAATGGTTGTGGAGTTGGGCCCGGGGCTGTTACATAATGCCCACCCGAGGGGCGCGGGCACGAGGCTGACGCAGGCCCTGACTGGCTGGTGTGTGCGGAAGGGGAAGGGATTTTAAACTGATAGGGACCCAGAAGGGATGAGGATGCGGACAGTGGGGGATGCGGGTGGTGATGGGGATGTCTGCCAGCTTGAGGGAAGGGGGTTAACAAGCCACAACTGGTCGCCAGCAGAAGAGGGAAGAGGAAGGCGAGGACCAGAAGCTAGGTCCGTTCTCAGCTCACTGAAGCTCCTGCCTAAGTGGAGCCAAGGATGGCCAGAGCACTTGCTGGCTGCGCATGCTTTGTTCCAGGGTTGCAGGCTTGGGCAAAGGCGACTGGAGAATGAGAATGACTCGGAAGCGATTGCAACCAGCAGAGTTTTAAAATCTGAAGAAGTCGCAGACCAGCCATTTTAGCATTTGCAGTACTCAATATCAGTCCCTGTCCTCTGCGTAGGGCTCTGGAACTCGCTAGGACGCTCTGGCAAAGCTTTGGGCAAAATGATCTGAGCCCAGTCGCCCAGTAAGTGGGAGGTCGCCCGAGGCCAGCAGCCAGGTCCCGGCATGGAGGCAGCATCCTGAGTGCTCCCAGCCACCACCATTTCCGGCCTCCAGGCTGGCAGATGTTTCCTGCCTTGATGTTCTCAGCTTCCATTCCATAGATATCAATTTGGGGGAAGATTTGCAGGTGGCTTACCTCCCACTTTGACTCCCATGTAACAGACAGAGCGGAAAATCACCAGAGGAAATACCCACGACAGTATTCCCACAGCCGGTTGCCATCCCACCCACTTTCCCCTAAGAAGCCTGTCATGTATTCTGTGCTGCTCTGTAACACCAGGGATATAAGAAGGCCAGGTTGCAACTCCTGTCCCCGGATAAATGAAAAAAAAAAAAAAAATAGGGTGATAATGTGATTGTGGTCATTTACATGACAAGAATTCTAGCTTTTCTAAAGGAGCAACTTGGGAAGATAGGCATTCTCTTAAAATGTTAATATTAAGGAAAAATCCAGATAGCAATAGAAATGATAGAGAAATAGGTTAGAAATGGAAATGATAGACAAGAGAATTTGCTCATAGAAGATGGCTCAGTTGATGAAGGCGTTTCCCATTGAACCTGCAGACCTGAGTTTACTCCCTGGGTACCTGACACCAGAAGGAGAGAACTGACTTCTCAAAGTTGTCTTCTGACCTCCACATGCCCCTTCCGATTAAATAAGTGAATAAAATTTAAAACGTAGTAGAATGTTATAGAAGTGCATCACAGTGCAATAAATGTTATTACGTAACAGGTACTAAGAAACTGTTTTAAGTGAATGTCAAAGACGTCCATACTTGACCTAATTACCTACTGAATTAGGCTGTTCATGTGTTATCAAGAAATTTCTGTCTCTTGTGAGTTTCAGTTTGACATGACCCTGTGTTGAGTATTTTACCTAGCTGTATTTATATGCACAAATACATTGTCACAATGCATTGCAAAGTAAGTATGTATATAGATTCTGAGATATTGACAAGACATTTTGAAAATACTTAGTAGTCAAGAAGTTGATTATTGATAAAAATATAATGAGATGAGCTTACTAGGAAAATAACAGATACATCCACCAAACTAATTGAGTGTTTCTCGATTCCAACAGGTGTTGAGCCACTGTATTGGGGCTCTTTAAGGCTCAGAGATTATAGTTTGTGTGGCTTGTATCCTCAAGCCCAAATTTAGTGAATGGGTTATTTCTAGTATAAATTGAATTGAAATAAGATATGTGGTGAGATTACATACACATGGAACAAGTGCACAGTTTTCATTTAACTACTAAATTTCATATATCCAACCATAGTTCTGAGAAACCAGTATATTCGAGACTTCATTTTTTTCTATAGATTTCTTCTTTTCTTAAAAAAATACTGAAGCAAAAAAATTTTAAATGTTCTTTCCAAGAACAAAAAATTACCCCACCCACAGATCATCCCACCAGACACCAAAAAAACATGGAGGAATGAAGTAAAAAGAAGCCACCAGAAGAATCCAGCATCTTGACTCTTGCAGCCCACATGCTGTAAGCTTACTGACCACTACCTACAACTAGTAAGGCAAAATTACAGAAACGAAGCTCTCTCGACAGATTTTTTTAGAGTCCACATTAGCTAGTGGACTATGCAAAGTCAATTTACATATTTAAAAATTAATTTTATCCTTTAAAAAATTCAAAACCAGCAAAGAAAAGTATTTCCATCATTTTCTTTTTTTTCTTTTCCTAAGGAAAAGGGAAATTGCAAAGTTAATTTAACTCTTTAAAGGGAGGAAAGGGGGTGGGGGGGCATATGTGTGAGGCACAACCAAACAACCACTACTTCCCTGGTTAAATAAATGGGAGTCTCTGCTGTCAGATGTATGAAGCTAAACATGATCATTTAAACCTGCTCTGGATTTTACTCCAATGCAGATAATTTGTTTGTGTGCTGCATTTAGTCAGGTTCTTTCATAGAAAGGATGCAACATCTTTAAGTACATTGACATATAAGATCAAGGTGTCTTTCTTCCATTTTCTCCAGAAACCGAAGGAGGTCTCCTCCAAAGTCAATGTTGAATTACATGAGTCACCAATCCCTGCTTCTGAAGTAGCTTATTCTTTATCTTGATAATGCAAAGAAAAAAATCAAAAGCATTGAATTTATTTGTCAAGAAAGCAAAACTTCAGCATTAAGTGGTGTCATTTTGACAAAGGAAAGGATCTGCTTAGCAACTGAATGGTATTTGTGAAATGGATGTATTTACTCAGAAATGTTGAGGTTGACATGGAGTTAAAGATCTAAGTAAGTCTACTGAATGGTTTGAGTTAAATGAAAGGAAGTCATTTTATTCTGATCAGGAATGTGCTCTGCTGCACTCAGCTCCTACACCTTTTCAGTCACAAAGGAATAATGAGAGTACCTGTTTGCTCTGTTTGCTCCCATTTGTTTCCATGGATACCAGAGGAGATTAAAGACAGATTTCTGATGTCTGTCTTTTTCTTTCTTCTCACCCCCCACCTTTCTCTCCCTCTCTCTCTCTCCCTCTCTCTTTCTCTTTCTTTCTTTTATTCCCTTTCACATCTTTCCCTTCTCTTCCCCGCTTCCTTCCTTTTGTCTTGAAGTGGTACTAAGATAATTTTCAAATGAATGCTTGAACAAGCCGTCATTATGAGAAAATGCAAATCCTAAAAGAAGAGAGAAAATTGAGGCTATCATGTGAGCAGGAGTTGAAAGCAGTGAGGGGCCTCCAAATTCATTCATTCATTCATCCAAGATCATTTCCCCAGTGCCTTCCAATGGTTGGAGAATAAGTGAACCTGTTCCAAATCTCAGTTGTTTTCTGACCACTTGTTTCAGTGGTCTTTCTAATGGTTTTGAAAACCTTGGAAACGCCATGCTTTTAGTAGGGAGCAGCCTGTGAGGTCTTGCCTGAGTAGTTTAGTATAAGTGTGGAAATGGACTCTAGTAGTTCTTCACCAGTAATTCATGAGGGTAATAAAATATTTCAATTTTTAAGAAAATAATAAGTTGATATTGGTGTTTCTATAGCTGTCAAAACCAACATAGATTTTTGAAAAATATTAAGTATTATATATCATAAGTTTAGCAAACTTTAGCAAAATTAAATGTGGCAATAATTAGAAAAACATTAAAAAAGGAACTCTCTAAATAAGTTATACATGTGAGTATCTGATCTCCTAAGGTTAGGGGATTAGAGAGTAAATATTAAATTAGCTTGTAAGAATCTGTTTCTATTTATTCTAATGAATGATTCTGTTAAATAACCATTTGTCTAGCTAACAATAATTTAAGAATTTTATATTTTAATTCTATAAAGGACACAAATTGTAAATTTTTTTAAATCACCTTTAAAGAAATAGCAATTAAAATTTTACTTTTCCTCTAAGCCAGCAGATGGAGATGTTGGAGAAAAGATTGTGCTCCATAAAACTGTTGCGCACACTGAATACCTTCTAAGCCCCCAGAGATGAATTTATTTGGAGAAACAGAAAAAAATTCCAATTAAATATGATTTGAAAGAATTAACTAAAATACTGTGTTTGAAAATAACATTCATTACCTACTTTAAGAAATAGATTGCTTTAGAGTATTTTTTTAAAGAGGAAATTCTACATATTTTTGTAAACTTGATTCACAAAGACATTTAGGAATTGCACAAATTATAAAATCTCTTAAGAGAAAGAATTCTAAAATCATTTTTACATGCAGCTACTTGTGTGTGTGTGTGTGTGTGTGTGTGTGTGTGAGAGAGAGAGAGAGAGAGAGAGAGAGAGAGAGAGAG